ACAGTCGCATGCCACAATAGCTGTATCAACTGCTGCTGTATCATATGCTGCTGCATCATAATATGCTGTATCATCTGCAAACTCTGATAGGTCTGCCTCTATCTGAGCGGCCCAAGCACTTGGCTCTGCAGCTGCATCGTCTGCAAACTCCGGTAGGTCTGCCTCTATCTGAGCGGCCCAAGCTCTTGGCTCGGTAGCTGCACCATATGTAAACTCTGATAGGTCGGCCTCTATCTGAGCAGCCCACTGCATTAAACGGAAATCTGCACATACTATGGTTTGAGCCCAAACGGTTATTCATGGACACCGACATTTCATTATTGCAAGCACTGCGATGGGGAAAATGGGCACTCATTGAACGCAAGCGCTGCAAGGGGAAGTGGGCACTCTTTGAACGCAAGTACTGCGAGGGGAACACAACTGAAGGCCTACCTATCCTCCTCCTTCGCCTCCTCCTCCTTTTCCTCCTCCTTCGCCTCCTCCTCCTCCTTTTCCTCCCCCCCTCCTGAGCGCGCGCGCGCCGCCTGCGCAGTGAAAATGTCCCCGTAATACGGGTCGCCGCCGCCGCCGCGGCGGCGGCGAAGCCCCCCCGCGGCGGCGGCGGCGCTCCGCTCCTTCCTCGTCGTCCTCCTCCTCCTCGTCCTCCTCCCCTCCTCGTCCTTCTCCTCCTCCTCGTCCTCCTCCTCCTCCCCTTCCCCCCCCCTTCCTCCTCAGCCTCCTCCTCCTGCACGGCGCTGGCACGGAAGGAGGAGGAGGGGTAGGAGGTGGTGGAGCCCGCGTAGCATAGCAGAAGATAACATAGCATAGTACTGGACAACGTAACATAACATAAAACTACATGTGCAACCCTCGTGACATTAAATTGCATTGCGTAGCATAGCACCGTGCAGCATTGTATAGCGTAGCATAGCATAGCTTGGCATATCACTGTTGCATTGCGTGTCATATCACTGTTGCATTGCGTTGCGCCACGATTGGACACCGTTTTCTCCAGGACCCACCCGATGCCCACGCAAGATTTCTAAGCGAAAGCGATGAGATCGTTGCAGGATGGCGCTGCTAGTGTGCTCACCGAAGGAGCGCCGAGCCCATTTTTCTAAGTATGGTTTTGACAGACTTTGAGTTTTTAACACGATGAAGCCCTAAATGTGGTTTTCGCCTGGTTAGTGGATTTTAACATAATCGTCCTCCTCTGAGACCGACCAGATCATAAGTGCCCTCATAAACTGCTTCGGGAAACATAGCTGCCCGTTCCAACCCCATGAGCCCCATTCCGAAGACACATCACTTGTTCATGACCCACCAATTCTTAAAGACTCCACTGCCCGCCCCTCCATCAGCGGCGAACAGTGGCCGCCGTTGATACAGGATGACAGCGCAGTAAACCACCTGCGAGACTCGTGCAAGTGTAGCTGCCCCCTGGCCGACGAGCCTTGGGTCTGAAAGGCTCCGCGCGCAACTCATACAGTACATGTTTTTCCTAGCAGCTGCTACTGTCCGAAAGCAGCTAGGGAGGCTGGTGGAGCTCGACGAACGATTCGGCCATTGTCAACTTGCTTCTCTAGCCGGTTCTGTACAGTGTGAACGTTATCCTTCTTGTTTATTTTGCACTTCATCAACCTACCATTGTACTTGCCGATGCCCTCATATCATGTCCTTCCCTCCGCCTCATTGCGCCATGTACCTGCACGTACACGTGCATAATACAAACTCGCAACTTACGTGTAGCAACTTCTACTGAATATCACGCGTTTATCTAATATCGCAAAAACGTGAAATAATCGACTCGGAAACATATGCCGTCCGGCACAGAAGGTGTGGCCCCCCACTGCGGGGCCACCAGACTGCAAGGCCAGGTGTTCCAGTCAAGCGGCGTCGGACTGTACATTTCATGGATTTCATACGTACTTCCATGTCGAACGGCACTTCCAAATCTGCAGAAGTGCGCCAACGGAAAGCTGGTGCGATGGTTGTTATAACACGCAACGAGTGCGTACGTGAAGTATACCACACGGCCCGAGGGCCCGAACCACAACATGCACGATACCCAGACAATTAAACCTCATCCTCGGCCTCTTTCCCAAACTCGCAGAACACATTTTAGAGGGTGCGCCGCTGGATCTCCCCAAGGGGGGGGGGTAGGAACCCCCCTCCCCCCCCCCCCCCCCCACCCCCCCTTCCCCGATCCGTCGTCGGGGACCCCCCCCCCCCCCCCCCTTCCCCGATCCGTCGTCGGGGACCCCCCCGTCCCCCCCTTCCCCGATCCGTCGTCGGGGAATCCCCCCCCCCTCCGCCCCGTTCCCCGATCCGTCGTCGGGGACCCCCCACCTCCCCTCCTTTCAAGAGGTGGAGGGGGGTCCGACCCCCCCCCTCCCCCCCTTTCGCCACGCCGCCCCCTGACTCCGGAACCCGACCCCCGCCACCCCTCCCCCTAGTCCTCACCCTAGCCCAAACCCCTAATCCTAACCCCAACCACTAACCCGAGCCCCAAAGAGCACTCACTACTCATTACTCACTACCCACTACTGACTACTCGCCATTCGCTACTCACTTCTCACTACCCCCTACTCACTACTCACGACGCACAACTCACTATCCACTGCTCACTACCCACCACCCACTTACTCGCTACTCACTACTCCCTACTCACTACTCCCTCCTCCCTTTTCACTATTCTCTACACACTCCTCACTACCCACGACTCAATACCCACTACTGACTAAGCACTATTCCCTACTCACTACTCACTAACCACTACTCATCATCCACTGTCCACTACTCACTACTCACTACTCATTGCCCATAAATCCCTACTCACTACCCACTTACTCGCTACTCCCTACTCCCTACACAATACTGACTACACAGTACTCAGTACTCGCTACTCCCATACTCGCTACTCAATACTCACTACTCACTCCCCGCTACTCACTATTCACTTCTCACTACTTACTACTCCCTACTGCCTAGTCGCTACATCGTCTCCAGTCACTAGTCACGACTCACTAGTCACTAGTCACTACTCTTTACCCACTACCAGCTACTCACCAATCGCTACTCATTATCCACTAATCGCCACCCATTTCTTATTACTGACTGCTCACTACTCCCTACTCCCTACTCCAGACTCACTACCCACTACTCACCACCCACTACTCGCTACTCCCCACTCGTTACTCACTAATCACTACCACCTACTCACTACTGACTATTCTCTACTTCCTACTCACTACTCACTACGCCCTACTCGCTCCTCACTACTCGCTACTCCCTACTCGCTACTCACTTCTCACTACCCACTGCCACTACCCACTATTCTCTATTCATCACTACGCACTACGCACTACGTACTACTCAATATTCGCTACTCACTACTCACTACTCATTACTCACTACTCGCTACTCGCTACTCACTACTCACTACGCACTAGCACTACCCACTACTCACCACTCACTATTCACTACCTTCCACCCATTACTCACTACCCACTACTCACTACGCACTACTCATTACTCCCTACTCCCTACTCAGTCATCACTACTCGCTACTCGCTACTCACTACTCACTACTCACTACTCGCCACGCACTACTCACATATCAGTACACTACTCAATATTCACTACTCACTACTCCCCACTCCCTACTCCCTACTCCCTACCCGCCCCTCACTACCCACTACTCACTACCCAGTACTCACTACTCACTAACTACTCACTACTCACCTTTCCCTACTCCCAACTCCGTACTCCCTACACCAGGAGAGGGGGGTCCGACCCCCCCCCCTTTCCAGCGCCAAGGGGGGAGGGGGGGGGTCCGGACCCCTCTCCCCTTCAAGGGAGGAAGGGGGAGGGGGGGTTCGGGACCCCCCCCCCTTAAGCGGGGAGGGGGGGGGGGGGGGGGGGGGGGGAGGGGTCCGAACCCCTTCCGAAGGGGGGGAGGGGGAGGGGGTTCTGGACCCCCCCCCCTTTAGTGTGTTCAGGGAGATCCACTGGCGCACTTTCAGACATGAGCACGAGTAGACACGAGCGACGCGTACTGTTCCCATGTGGCTGTCTGTCGATTCCGTCCCGAGGAGCGCTTGTCGAAGGAGCTCGTTCGGAGGGTTTTTCTTGTGGGGGCGGTCCTGCTGCCCCCCTGAGGAGGGAAGGCATGGGCAGGGGGAGAAGGGGGAGCTGGTGCCAGTGGGGCTCACCACAAGGGGGGATCGCGACCGCGCCCCGAGGACCCAGGATCAAGGAGAGCGGGCGCACGAGGGCCGCGGGGACTGTTGGGAGCTCCTGCTCGTTTTGGAGGGATCCCCCCCCATCATTCTCAGGAGGAGGCGGCGACTCCCCCAGCGTTGACCTCCCTGGGCACCGCCTGGGTGAACGCGAGCCCACAATTCATCACGCATGGTCAGAGGTACAGTCGGTGCCCTGAAAAAGGAACCCTTTTCGTTGGGGAGGGGCCCCGCGTTCCTTAATTGTTTCGCAGTTTGCCTAGGATTTTCCTTAGGTTTTCGATACGAAATCGAAGTTCAAATTATGGAAAATAGGGGCCTCGTTCCTTATTTAGGGTTCCTTAGGTCAACGCCTCGACTGTAAGCGCGTGTCGCTGTCACCGGCGCTGGACCCCCATCCATGGCGCGCGAAGCAAGGGAGGTCATCCTGGTGCCCCCCCCATCCTCCCCCTGGCGGCGCCTCCGCCCTCGGTGCGGAGGAGGAGGAGGAGGAGGAGGAGGAGGAGGAGGAGGAGAGGCGAGGAGGGAGGTGGAGGAGGAGGCGGAGGAGGAGGAGAAGGATGTAGACGACCAGTAAGAAGAATCCGACTCTGCCTCGCGCTACCTATCAAAGAGCGATGGCAGGCGGCCGCGCATTCGCACGAGGGAGGCCCCGCCTCTACCCTCTGCTCCCGCTGCTGCTGCTGCTGCTGCTGCTGCCGCCTTCCATTGCGCTACACTGCTGGCGGGCTGCCCTCTGGAGTCACTCTATGGACTCAGGGGCCCAAAACAATGCTCTTCCCCTTCTCAGTCCGTGGATGCTGCCCCTTCAACATCTGGTTCCAGCGGTGCTGGTGGACATCCGACGAGAAACCTCCATTGCAACTCATGGCCAAGCAACGCAAATCTCTCGAAGTGTGGGCCCCGTACCTCGCACGTCCGAGGTAGAAGGCCTCCTCATCAGCTACGAAAGGAAACATCAAGAGTCTGTGCCCCCTAGGCTCTTGAACTAAACATGACAGTGGACTGTTGTGGCCTGGGCAGGCGAGCCTGCTCTTGAGAGCCTTGGTGCTGCCCTTGCACGCCAGAGCCAGGCAACGGGCACACACCCACTTAGTCTGCCTCCAAAGCCAGGCGTGTGCTAGAAACTCCTGTCCCTCTCCCTCCCGGTGGGGAGAAAGACGACGACCACGAGGCTCCGACGGAGGATGAGGAGGAGGATGAGGAGGAGGAGAAGGAGGAGGAAGAGGAGGAGGAGGAGGAGGAGCAGGTGGGGCGGCTGCCGAGAGAACGGCGGCCTCCCTCTCGACAGGCTGCGTCACTACTTCTCGAGCAGCCTGCGCACCTCTCTGGACCTTAGCCCTGGACCTCGGACCGCTCTTAAAGTTGTGTTTGCTGGCGCGCGTGGTTGCCAGCTGGGGCCACATGGTGAGGGCTTTACCTACATACATCAAGAAAGCGGCCAGCAATCGGGCTTCACGTTCAAAATCGTCCACTTCCGCATTGGCAGGGCGGCAATGCATTTGGGTCCCTTGTTTGGCCCATCTGTCGGCATGGAAATCCCCGAGAGCTCTAAAGTGCTCGTCCGTGCCAGCGCACAACGAGTCTACATCCTGGTGGCCTTTCACTTTGCTGTCGTGACAGGTCGGAGTCCACGCTGGGCCTCCAAGAATCAGTTTGCTGAGGGAGGCCTGCGTAGCGCGATTTCCTGTCCAGCGCGGCGCACAGGGCCATTGAGACTCAGGGCCCCCGTGAAATCTGACGAATTCGTGGTCTCCGGACCCCTTCAAAGCAGCAGTGCACAAGGCGATCCATTCAGCTGCTGGGGATGTCTGCGGGACTGGTCCATAGAGAGCCGCGTAGGGCTCCCCGTTATCTTGGAGGCGAGCCATCCAGCATGATGAAAATATTCGGCCCCTGACTTGAAGCACGATCCGTCTGTGAGCAGTCTGCTTCGGAGGGCCTGCTCCACAGAGACGTCTGGATCGGCGCACCAAAAATTTGCAGCTTCAGTCCAGAGCCCTTTGGGGGACACAGTTCAAAATTGGGCGCCAGTTGAAAGCCCGCCAGGAAAGGATGTCGATTCCCTACCTACCGCTCGATATCCTCCCCTCCATCGGGTGTGAACATCGAATCCCAGAGCGGCCGAGACAGAGGACACTCGCACAGCCGATGCACCATGTCATCACTGCGATGCCCGCATGGGCAGTAAGGCTGAGTGACAACATACCCGGCTTGAGCAAGCTTGGCATTGGTCCACAGCCCTTGCGTCAGATATCCCAGGAGACATATTGTCTCGCTGGAGCTCAGAGGGGAACAGTCCTTAGGTCCCCGCCCAGTGCTCAACACGGTCAAAGCCACGTCACGTCTAAATCAAGCACGTCCTCATTGAAGCCGAGTTTCATAGCCGCTTCTCGCTGCGCTCTTTCTCTCCGCGACCGCTGCAACAGGGAGGAGAGCAAAAAAGGGGAGGTGGAGATATGACAATGAGTGTCGCCCCTAAGGCCCTAGGGTCCCTGATGACAAAAGGTGTTTGGAATTTCCAACCGATCTTAGCTAATGGCAGCATCGCAGCTCCAAGAGGGCCAGGTACTGAGCACCACTTCTGGGGAGGGCTCCTCAGCACCATGGGCGCCAAACTACAAAGCCTCGGAAGACCTCCCGAGAAGTGCGGGCTGGTGGGCGCACGCGCTGCCTTCCAGACAATGGTAGCCCACGTGAGGGCCGGGGCCAGCGCGGCCCTCCAGAGCGGGTCTTGGCGGAGGACGAAGGCGAGGGTGCGAGACCGAGTCCGACCTCCAGGCCCTGCCACTCCTAGAAACTCACCCTGTAGCCTGTTCAATTCGAGGTTGTCCACTCCCGTGACCTCCGCTCCAACAGTGAGCGCTTGCTGAAACCCCGTGCGAAACAATTTGATCATGTCGACGCCAGCTCGGCGCAAGTTGTCAATCCTACGACGTCGTTTCTTAAATCTATTGAGTAGCTTGCAGCGTGGGCCGGGTCTGCCCCTCCGGGCCTTGCCAGCCCAGAAATATATTCCTAAGTTGGCAGCCGCTGCGCACGCCGACCCACCCAGCGCCCCGACCTTTTCGGCCACCATTTTAAGGGTAGAGGGTGTGCTGGCAACTATTGCGGCCGTGTGTGATGCGATGCTACATTCCAAGTCATCCTCTATGAGATCTACCATCGCTTCCCCGGCCTTGGTGAGTTCCTTCGCGACGTCGTCAACGAGCATATTGAATTGCACGGTTTGGAACTTGGGCTGGAATGTGAGCAGCGGGGGCACGACGTACACTTGGACCAGGAAAGTGGCAACCCGCAGCCCGCGGCGATCCCCGAAGATGCGACACCCACCATGATCGTCACCCCCTGCATCGAGACAAAGAGGAAACCATTGTACTGGCTGATGCCTACGCTAAGGATCTGCCCGGGGAGCTTCAATTCTTCAGCTTTCGAGGCCAGCTTGGATCTGCTCAGGTGCTCGTAGAAGTTACTGAGGTCCCACGGGACCGCTGCAGCCATGAGGTTTTTTTTTTGCAAGGAGGCTGCTTCACTCATCAAGGCCTGCGTAAATACCAATTCCAAAATGGACTGGCCCCTGTGATGTGCCATCCGAGGCTCTCCCATTGTTTGAGGACGGGCTGGCGAACGCGGGCCCAAAGTCTATACAGGCTGGGACACATCCCAATCCCACGGAAGATGGCACCACTTTTTTCGTTCGGTTTATGCTTCGGGATGCGCACCGTGACGACCCCTCTGATGCAAGTAGGCATGGCCCCGTGCCTCTCAACGGCATTGAGGAAAGCGGCAACCGTTTCAAGCCTTCTTGTGGGCAGCAGGTGGTAGCGACGAGGGTGCAATCCATCCTACGTTTGCGCCGTGGCTGCCGGGAAGGACCTGGACGCCTTCGCCATCACCTCCCCCGTGATGGGGGGGAGGGCAGCGGAGAGGCAGGCGGGCACGTACCTTGGCATCGCTCGGACGTGTGCATTTTCCTCGGCGGAGATTATTAGGGAGCATCCTGGATCATCCTGCGAAAAAGCCACGCACGAAACCGCACAAAGCACAGGGAACGGACGTCCGAGCGATGGCGAGGTGCTGCGGAGGCTCTGAGGGCTGGACGCCCCACGGGTCTCCCGGGTGGTCGGCCTCCTGCCGGGCCGGCTGGGAGGGTCTGCCGCTCTTGTGGCTGTCGGCGGCAGGGGCCTGCGGGGCGAGCCGGGTCGCGGGGCCTGCGGGGAGAGCCGGGTGCGCCTGCCCCGCTCCCACCATCGCTTGGCATCGCTCGGACGTGTGCATTTTTCCTTCGGCGAGAACCATCGAGGATCATCCTTGATCATTTGGCGAAAAAACCACGCACGAAACCGAAAAAGGCACAGGGAATGGACGTCCGAGCGATGGCCAGATCATCATTAGCCTCTGTGACCCACTCCCTCCATGACAAGTCAGCTGACCTTATCTCGTCCGCCCCCTCCCTCTTCAGCGCCTCCTCTGCCTCCCCTGCTAGACCCTGTAGCAGCGAGGGGAGGCACTCGGACACCTCTTGCCTCCGCTGCCAATCCTGTAGGGCCGCCTGCAAGGCCACCACGAGGGCCTGCCACTGCTGTCTGAGGTGGGCTGAGGTCTGGATCTGGTCTGGACTGTCATGCCGCAGATGGTCCACTGGCAGAGCTATCTCGCTCCATTCCTGGCCCGAACAGTTTCTCTGGGTATCCGGGAGCCTCTTTGTTGCACATCCAGCTTTGGGACCGCTGGAAAAGAACCCAAGCAGCCCGTTGCCGTGAGTGCGACTGGCTGGGAGGACCCCTTTTCGGTCCTGGGTGGGCGGGCCCTGCGTCCTAGGTGCCGGATGGGCGTGTCAGTGACACGGGGTAGGACGACCTCAATATCGTCCACGAGCTCTTGATAGACAACATCTAAAGTTCCCTGCTGACTGCTCCTGGTCACTCTTCCCGGCACGTTGTGGACGTCCCACAATTTTTTGATTGCCTCTTCGCACCTGCTGTGGGCAGGCATGTCAGGTCGGGGCCCAAACGGGGCGCTGATGGGGATCTGCTGGGGCTTCACGAGGCGGTCCACCTCAAAATCTTCCGCCGCAAGCTGCAACACCACAGGTCAGTGGGGAGCCATGGGATACTGGGTCCACGGTTCGACCTCCAGAACAGATTCTTTAAGGCTCGCACTGAAGATAAAAATAATCCAGAGTAGCTCTGCTGCGCGTTGAGAAGCACCAGCCATGCCCTGACCGGGACTGCTACTCTTTGAGCCGTAAATATTTTGTCCGACTCGGTTGCCGGGCTGAAGGTGGCGCTCCAGTCACGGGCTTGACACCAGGAGATGGATTCCTCTGTATCCTGAGGGCTGACGAGCTTGTGGTCCTAAGCGCAAACGAGATTGACCGTTGCACATTCTTCGCTGGGCACAAACTTTTTGGTCGTAGACCACGCCGTGCAGTTGAGTGCGCAAAGCCCCATATTGGTCTTGCCATTGGTACTTGTACTGGTACGTACTTACGCTGGAGAAGGCGCAACCTCTGTTACCCGCCAAACCCTGCCCCACCTGCGGGGACCGGGCTTTCCGCTGCTCTGTCTGCTCCTCTGCCGCTTGCTGCCCTTCCTGCTGCTGGCGCGCCGGCTGCCCTCGCTCCCTCTGCCGCGTTGCTGGGCGGAGGCACGTTGGCGGGCGGAGGCACGTTGGCGGGCGGAGGCACGGCTGATGCCGCCGCCGCTGCTCGCGCAGCCGCTGCCGCCGCTGCTGGGCGGGGTGCTGGTGCTGCTCAGGCTGCTGTTCCTCCTCCTCCTCCTTCTCCTCCTCCTCCTCCCCTCCTCCTCCTCCTCCTCCTCCTCCTCCTCCTCCTCCTCCTCCTCCTCCTCCTCTCCTCCTCCTCCTCCTCCTCCTCCTCCTCCTCCTCCTCCTCCTCCTCCTCCTCCTCCCCCTCCGCCTTGGCCTCCTTCCCCCTCTTCCTCTCCGCTCCTCGCTGCCTTTGCTGCCGACCCGGCCTGCAAGAGGAGTTTATTGAGGTTGGGGTCCGAGGGGGCGAATCGATGTAGCTCGAGGATGTCCTCCACCAACGTCTCCTGAGTGCGCTTGGTGCCGGGCAGTCTCCCGTCCATGTTTGTATCCCTTGAGGTATCCCCCCAGTCCACGACGAAGCCTGTCTGAGGCTGGGTTGCTGCTGCTGAGGCTGGGGGGGCTGCTGAGGATGGGGAGCCTGCACTGCTGCTGAGGCTGGGGGGGGCCTGCGCTGCTGCTGATGTTGGGGCTGCTGATGCTGGGGGAGCCTGCACTGCTGCTGACACTGCCAGGGTGTTGACCTGGACCTGGGCTTGCTGAAGGAGGTTTGCGAGCTGGGTTTGGGCTGCTGCTTGGGCTGGGGACAGGTTGTCCGTGCCGAAGGACCCCACCACCTGAGCCAGCTGGCTGACCGATGTCACGATGCATTCTGCTCCTGACTGCGAGTCCTGGGCTGCTGCTGCGACTGCTGCTGCATGCTGAACTTCGAGCGTGCGGATCTCATGGACGATCTCTTTCTGCTCACGAAGCAGTGTTGCCGTTTGTCCCTGGAGGTCAACAATATACGCCTGCAGGATAAGCAAAGACTGATTGTTGCATTGGTATTTTCGTTTCTGGGTTGCCAGCTGGTCCGCAAGGCTTTGGTCTTGCTGGCCCAAGGGCTTGCCACGAAGCATGGCTGCCTTGGCAGCCATGAACTTCTCCAGCGCCTCCAGGTACTGGGGTCCCTCCGCCCCCTCCTTCCAAAACTGGGCTACCCGCTGCCACTTGTCGACTTCTTCCGAGGGGGAGGGTTGTTTTGAGAGTTTTGCTGTGTCGGGCTGAACCCTGGGCGACTTATCTGGTTGCTGTGGCTCGAAACGGCGCTTCCTTGAGGCCGTGCGCCAGCAGCCTTTGGGATCCTGACCGTCTGAAGGGCTTGACTCCTGGACCTGGCTGCGGGGGGGCTGCTGCGGCACGAAGGCTGCACCGCACTTGCAAGAATGGGAATGTGTCTTGTCATCCCAGGCTTAGCCAGACATGTCTGATTTGGGCACCGTGTAGGTCCTTGCCATCCCCATGCTGCCGCCGCGGCGCCGAGCCCTGAAGGCACCCAGCAGCACACAAGTGCACGGAGAACTATAGCGGGTCCCCTCTTTACTGGAGGAGTGATGTGTGTAGGTAGGCGGGCACGCCTACGGATCGCTGAAAGCTGGTCGAGGGGAGAGGCCTGAAGGAAAGGGGCTGCCCCTCCGTCTCGGCCTCGAGCCTCTGGAGTCGGGACCCCACGGTGAGGGCCGTGGAGACAGAGCTAAAATGGCTCCGGAGAGGAGGAGGAGGAGGAGGAGGGGAAGGAGGATCAGGAGGAGGAGGAGGAGGAGAAGACGGAGGAGGAGGAGGAAGGGCAGGGAGCGATCAAACGGAGGAGGACGAGGTTGTTGATGATGGTGGTGATGGACATGATGATGATGATAATGATAATGGTGATGATGATGATGATGATGATGATGATGATGATGATGATGATGATGATGATGATGATGATGATGGTGATGGTGATGGTGATGATGGTGATGGTGGTGGTGATGGTGATGGTGATGGTGATGATGGTGATGGTGATGGTGGTGATGGTATGATGGTGTTGATGCGTCTGATGATGGTGATGGTGATGGTGGTGGTGACGATGGTGGTGATGGTGATGGTGACAGTGATGATCACACTGATGAGGATTATAATGGCGATGATGGTCTTGTTGATGGTGATGAAAATGGTGATGGTGATGATGATGGCAATGGTGCTGGTGATGATGATGAACGTGATGATGATGATGGTGATGTTAATGATCGTGATGGTGATGGTGAGAGTGGTGATGATGACGATGATGCAGTTGTTGGTGATGGTGATTATGGTAATGATGGGGATGTTGATTGTGTTGGTGATGATGGCGATGGTGATGCTGGTAGTGAGGGCGATTATGATGCTGATGTTTACGTTGATGATGGTGATGCTGCTGATGAGGATGTTGATGATGGTGATGATAATTGGACTAATGCTGAGGCTGCTGAAAATGCTGATGATGGTGGAGATGATGGTTATGATGCTGGTGATGACTATGATCAAGATGATACTGCTAATGATGGTGATGGTGATGATGATGGTGGTGATGATGATGGCAATGGTGATGATGGTTGAGATAGTGATGATGATTGCGATGGTGATGGTGGCGGTGATGATGCTGATGCTGATTGTGATGATGGTGTTGGTGATGGTAATGACAATGATGGTGATGGTGATGGTAGTGATGGTACTGACAATTGTGATGATGACGGTGGTGGTGATGATGACGGTGACGGTGATGATCATGGTGATGATGCTGAAGACCTTGATGCTGATGATGGTGATGGTGA